TCCAGCAAAATGTTTAAAGTGTTCTAAATATGCTTTAATTAAACATCCTTAATAACTTACAAGAACCCAACAACGCACTTGTATATTTACTCCTTCGGATTACCCGTCTCCTCGTTTGCCGAAAAATATACATATAAAAAAACTAGCTCTTACCCGCGAAGTCGCTCAAGTCATTTGACTACCTACCTACGAATTTTCAGCCAAATTGGTTCAGCCGTTCTTGAGTTATAAATAGTTTAACTAACGCGATTTTCTTTTATATACATATATAGATTACGTACTGTGGCGAGTGTGTCGTGTCGCATGCTGTTAAATAATATATAAAATAGGGGCATTCTATAAGGTGTAACACACACAACACATTACAGAGCCGGCATTTTCTATCATACTTCCCGTTTTGATGATCAGCATTTGTAGTGTGATGTTTATAACCTACCCAACCAATGGGCGTTGCTAAATACGAGTAGTCAACACGAACAACACCGACCTAAAGAATATTTGAGTAGGTCCATATGTGCAACCTACTTTTTTACAAATATTCAATCGGTCAGAACTTTTAGGTATTATTAGAAGTCGAAAACACGGTCCTCTACCAACATGAACCCCACAACACCAAAGGAGTTACGTATGCGTTGCCGGTCTTTTAAGGAGGTTTCTTCTCTGCGGCCGTGCTATCACTTAGTTCTCCCACACTTGCCACGCAACCTCGACTCGAGGCAACAGGACTTTTTTATGCATATGGCCATAACCCTCTGACCCTCTGGGACACGACCCGTGCACGAGTCTAGCGCTCAAACAACGACCATAGACCGTATGATCCCTAAATACATCTCCGGCTGGAAGAATCTCCATCCTAGGTTGGAAAGGAGCCGCTTGAGCGCAGCCCCGACCGTTCCAACTTGGGAGCCAATCGTCTAAAATGCTCCGCGAAGATCCACCGGCTCATGAGGACGAGACCATCGCCGACTCGACGCCGATAGTAACCCCTCCCCGGCCGTTATTTGAGACCATGAAGCATCAACTCGTTGATGTTTGAGACTTATAGTGGATACGGGAATGTCGGAACCTCACTGTTATTAAATACTCCTTGCTTGCTTTGGTAATCTTACTGAATAGACTTTCTTAGAAATTGCAAAAGGGCCGACATTTTATAAGAAATTAGGTATTTGTCTTCTAAAATACTTAGACATTAAAAAAAAATTGTGTGCGGAAATGGAAACCCATGTAGAGTAGGTACCCGCTCACCTCACCTATAGAGGGAGGAGTCATCAAAATTATTAATTTTCCAACGTTATTACAAAACGTAGGTGAGCAAAACATAAACCAGTATGTAGCGTGAGAGGCGACGCGTGGCATCATCGGCGCGATTTTCCCAGCGTGAGCTGCGGGCGGCGCGTTGTGTGTCAAGGTGACGATGATTCAATGATTCAATGTGCTCGCGCCAGCGCCGACAATGGCGGCGTCCGTGCGAGCCGTGCTCTTGACGTGGACCGCAACTATGTCGCTATGTAACGCCAATTAGCGTTGCAGACATTTACTTACACAAACATTGTCAGTTATCGTAGTTCCCAACAGATAAGTGGCCAGCTTTGATTGCCATAGAAACCGACGTTCTGTAACAACACCATGACATGATAAAATAGTATAAAGGCTAAGTGGGTACATTATGTTGTAGTTCGCACATAATGTATTTAGTTCGCATTAGGATTCGACAGCAGTTTTTGTCCATCACCAGTCTTTCCATCGTCTCAACTGATTAAGTACACTTCAAGGTCGGCAAGGCCGGTCCAATCAAGTGGAAACACTACTATTAGTGCCTGTCAATCCGCCGCCTCTATGTGATGTACCTACATACATACATTGTACAAGAGTTTACTATTATTTACAGCCTTTAATAAGTTTGTTCCATTGTGTACCGCTGCTCTAACTGCTACTCTTATCCGACATTGTCATACAACAAGTAGTTAGTAGGTACTTGTAGGTATGAAATGTGTTCCCACTGGCTTGGTTTTGGCATAATGTGGTGAACTGCTAGCTGACATTAACTGTTTGGTGGTGGGTATACCACCCACCTGAAGCTAAATCTGAAGTCTTGCGACGTAATAATTCGAGTCGGGGCGTTAGTTCCTTACTTACTTACGTAACTTAGCGTTTTGTTGATTACCTTTGTGAAAATTATAAATCATACCTAATGTCTAGAAAATACAGTACTGTATCGTTATAGTTTTTCTTTTTTTGTCCCATAAACAAAGCACTCCTGCAGTTGTGAGCAGGAGGGAGAAGCAAAGGGCGGTGGCGGCGCGGGCGCAGCAAATACTCAGATAGTGACTCGAAGACATTGAACGTTAATTAGATCGCTAGCCAGATTGTCGATACATGTGGAGCTATCTACAGGTGATAATGATAACAGTGTTACCAATGCCGCTCGTTACTTACGTTGCTCAAATAATTATATTTAGTAATTAAATTACGATCAGGAGGATTACACAACAGCGTCCACCGTCAGCAACACTCACGCCATCTAGCTGGAGAACCTTAAAATACGTGTTTATATCGACGGTTTTCAGTTCTGCAGCAAGCGTGACCGTCTTCACCTTGCCAATCTTGTGTCGATAAAGTTTCTCTTTCAGTTCCCTTCGAAACAAATTCAATACTTATACTTACCTATAGTTACCTAGTCAATACAATATAACTAGCTAGCAGAGCTAAACACTTCTTGGAGCTTCCTTACACGACGCTAACATCCTATGTATATACACATACCGAAACATGTTTACGTATGTACAGTAGACAAATTATTTACTTTGCCACATGTACAACAGTTGGAGGTGACACTAACTAAGTTAACACTTTGAATAGACAATGTTATTAATAGACCTAGTATGTATATTGTAACTCATGACACAAGAATATTATTGCACTAAATCTCAGAAAAGACTAATTATCCAATAGTTTGTTATGTGAGCGCTGGAGCCTGCACCCCCATAAAATACATATGTATTTAATAATCATTACATTCCATTAAAACTCTTATATTAATAAAAGTAAAGGGAATAAAATGAGAGTTTATAAGAGAAATATCATTTCAAACCTTTATCTATCTACCCTTTCTTTTTCTTTTTTTGGATAGTTCGGCAATCGAGGAGATGGTGGATGACATCTGATGTAAACAATCGGCGCCCAACAACACTAAAGGTATTGCAAGCGCGGCCTTTTGGGGGGGCTGGTGATTTGTAGATTGGGGGAATGTTTGGTCACTCGCAATACGAAAGTATTTATCATTTTCAATAGTTACAGGCGCCCATATTTACATAAACGGTAAGTCCCGCCTCATATCAGTATATTAATAAGTCACATCCTAAATAAGTAGCACGAGATTGTGTCACTTGCTTACTGCTGCTACTGTTTTACTTTTCCCACCCCCTCCAGCTCTAACTTCAAAAATAAGAAAATGATACAAAAATCACATACCTACCTATGCAAACAACACCGAAAATTGGTTTGAACGAGGTCTAGTAAGCAGCAGTTAATCAAGTCAAAAATCGTAAAATAGTTTTACTTGTTGCTTCGGACCGCGTCACGGGCGTGTTCGACTCGAACTTGGCCGCTTTTTGTTGGTCACATAGCGAGTGTACATAGCGAGGTAGCTACCTAGGTCACATGTATATAGTGTAGCAATGACTCGTGTCATGTATAAAGTGGAGCGCTGTGTGTAATGTATTGCTGCATCTGTAGTACTGGCTGTCGCCGCAGCCGCGGGGCGCTATAGTGGCTGGTAGAGTAGTGAGCATTGTGACCTCTTCTACCAGCTGTCTGCTTATATCATGTTTGATGTACACCTGCGGGCTGGTCTGCACCTGGCCAGAACTAGGACCCAGCCCGGAGCACAGAAGGAACGAGGTGCTTTTCAGTGAGTAAGAGTCTAACACGTATCGTCCCAGCCAGAAGGCGAGGAAACTGAATTATCATATTTCTCCCTCGAAATATCCGCCATACGTTGGAATAATTGCCCCATCAGATAACGTTATGTTCCTCCTGTCGACTGTACTCCTGCATGTGTTGCTACTTGTCTTTCAAAAAGTTCTTATTCCAACTAGTGGCTATACGTGCACACACATTGGTTCTATAAAGAGTCAGCAACCATTGAACCACTCAATTCCATTGAGCTTCCCAATGTTCACAGACGATATGTTTTTGTTATAAACCATAAAACTTGTACTCTAACAAAACTGCAGTCTCAGCACTAAAACAATCTTATTTTTATCTTAACCTGGACTGCTGTTTAGATTTTTTTAAATAAGAAACATTGCCCCTTTTTCGATTTTCTCCCTTGTTGAAGGTGCGTTTACAAACATACAAATTCACATACACAAGCCACCCAGACCTTAAACAACTATTTATGGGTCAACACACACACATTATAGTGTAGTTTCGTGCCCGTGCAGGAATCGAACCCGTGGCCCGATGCGCAGCAGCCAGTTGCCCAGCGACTGCGCCAACCGTGCAGTCAAACCGTGACCGGGCGAGCAGACGTTTGACGGCTAGCAGGGAGTATTCAGACAACTACTTCCATTCGCCGGCCCCGGCACAAATTTTCGTGTGATCTATATAAATATTGTTGTTATGTTTGTAAACGGAGCAACGACATAGGACATAGACTAGTCAAAACATATCATAGATCTAAAACTAAACCATCGAGACAACAGTAAGTACATGTGTGTACGTATGTAGTGAGACGATAGTCCCCGGGGCCCGCGGGCGGCTGTGAGCTACTTCTAATGCGAACTAATTCGTGGCCACAGATAAGATAACGCCGAACAGTAGTACACGTCACCTGCAGCGGACGAGGGACGCAGCGCGACACCCGCGCTCAGACCATTCATTGCTACTAACATACAACTCTACTGGGGAAAACCTAAAAAGTTATATTCAACCTTCATGTATCTGAGCGTTAGTCAGTTTATGTAAATTGGAAAATTGAATCATAAACTTCTTTATAACAACACCATCGTGCGGCAGGAAGTATAATGTGTTTTTATGGTTTCTAAGTTATCTCTAATCATCAGATTCTGTTCGGAGAGTGGCTACCCAAAAAAAATATAGGTGTCAAAATATTGGCAAGTGCGTACGTATAGCTATAACGAGGTGAGCAAACACATACACATGTTAGCTCGCCCAGTGACCACTCGCCAGCTATGTAAATAGGAGCTCTGCCGTCTGTCAGGTCGCTTCACGCGGAATGTACAATGAGTGAGCTCGGGGACACGTCGGCTGACTGAGCCAGGATGACACATCAGGTTGCTTTTCAATTCATTTTATTGATAATAAAATTAAACAATATTCACACTCGAGTACGTGAGTAACTCTAGCTACACATTTAGATAAATCAATTACTAAAAATCAAAATAATTTGAATTCGTAAAATAAATTACACACAGTGGTTCATCCCTATGTACTATAAACGTATGTATAGCGGCTAGGCAACTAGGCTAGTAAATATATACAACAACACTTTATTCAATTCAATGGCAATTTTTATAGAACGCTATAAATTATATAACATAATTTACGTGGTAAAACAAATTTACATTAATTGTACAAGACGGGAGGTGGCCGGTGCACGAACAACCTGCGCCTGCGTCGCCGTCGATGTCATTGTTCCAATTCATGCGCGCTCGGCGCGGGCTGGCAACAGCGCGCCGCGGAGCGGCAGCGGCGCCGCGCCCTCCGCACTGCACCACAACACCGGCACGCGACCTCACAACACACACATCACAGTTTCTTGACGATGTCAAACTTGGACTTGAGGTCCATGGGCACTTTCTTAGGGTCAAACTTCTTCTTGGCGGCGAGGTGCGCGCGCATCTCTGCCGCCGTCATCTGCAGGTTGAGCCGCGGAGGCTCTGCGGGCTGCGCGCTGTCCGGCGCCGCCGCCTCGGGCGCGGGCGCGTCCAGGTCCGGCACCGGCTCGCCCGGCGCGGGCGCCGCCACCAGCAGCTCGGCGTCGTCGGGCCGCTCCTTGATGCGCGCCACCACCTGCTTGTGGCTCTCCCCAGCGATACTGTGCCCGTTCACCTCAAGGATGCGGTCGCCGCGCTTCAGCCCCGCGTGCTCCGCCGGGGAGCCCTCGTCCACCTTGCCAATGAACTGGCCGGGCTTGCCCTTCTCGGCGTGCAGGTTGAACCCATAGCCGTCGAAGTCAGGCGTCTTCCGCACGTGGCAGAGCCGCGGCTCCGTGGCCGCCGACCCGTTCGCGGACATGTTTCACAATTCGAACGACGCGCGGCTCGCGTCGCGCCCTGTCAGAGACTGGCGCCCGCTCCGCGCGCTCCCCGCGCTGCCTCCGCGAAGGCTCTCGGCTCCCCGCGCCCCGCGCCCCGCGCCCCCGCGCCCCGCGCACTCCGAAGCCTCGGCTCAGGTGTGACGGCGGAGTGGGGGAGGCGGGCGACCGCAGCGCCGCACTCTCCAGTACACACCGAATCGCCGCTGAGTCGCCAAGTACCGCCGCCGCGAGTGATAAGCACGGACTCACGTTGTTTGTTAACTGTGCCTGATCCCGAGTGCTGCAGACTGAGGTGAGTACAGGCGCGCCCCGGGGGCGAGCCACCCCCCGGCGCAGGAGTCGCGGGCTCCGAGCCACTCGCGACACGTCACGACCGGCGCCCGCGCACGTAGCTCGGGAACGAGGCCGAGTCGCTTTCCCGCAGCCATCGGTGTGTGTGTGTGAGTGTGTGTCGGCTGCCGCGACCAGTTCAGCAAATGTGGTGCCGCGGGTACCTGTTGTTAGCTCGACGTATCAATGGGCCCCGGGGCCGACATGTTATTGCTCAGCATACATTCCTGCGCTAGGGACGCTACGTAGACAATTAGAGATCGCGAGTGTGCGCTGCGGATTGAGAGGAGACAGCTCCTCCGCCGCCAGGGTGGGTGTGGTGCAGGGAGCAGTGGGAGGTGACACAGGCACCCGGAGGGAGAACCATTACAAGTTAAACAATGTGAACAAATGGTGGATTGCGGTGTCGAGAGAATCCGATAGATGGCGGTGCGCGGGAGCATCTGGCACAGCGCGGTCGTTGCTCCGCGGGCCCTCGGCCGGCGCCGCGCTGATAACGACTGGAGACGAGCTGCAGTTGTCCACTGCACCGGAAGCGAGGGCTCGCTGTATAAGGAGGCACTACAGTTACCTATGTCGGTGGACTTCCGGTGTGAGCTCGTCCGCACACCACACGCGCGCTGTGTATACACACACACAGTCCCACAACCTGACTCAACAGTCAGTCACTGCCGTGACGTAATACAAGAGTGTAGCTCGTTACATATGTATACCTGTGCATGTATACACTATGAGTATGTGCATAATACTATTGAAATAAATAACAACATGACGTGTGAAGACCTACCCACTGTTACGGATTATATGCTTCCGTTATGATTAATTTAACTTATATTACATATAAGTATATAAGTATATATGTAGGTAGGTATATGGAATGATTAAGTTGTACTTATTATAACCACCGATTGGTTTGTTGTCAGTCTGTTCGTTGGAAACGAGGAGAAGGTTAACGTCTTTATATCAATATTCTAAGCCTAGACTAAGTTGAGTTGTTTATGGATTCTCGAGCTGAGGACAACAGGTGTTCTAGTCCCTAAAGTGGCAGTTTTTGCCGCAATATTTCGAGGCTCACAAAGTAGTGCAATCACAGAGTAACATAAAGTTGAAACCAGCTGCGGAGCAACGTCTTACAGCACAGACAAATGACGGAAGCCAAATATTTTTTAGTTACTTCATATTTAAAATTCAAACTCATCCAAACGAATATTATGAATGCGAAAGTAACTCTAATCTGTCTGTCTTTTCTTCACGCCTAAACTACTGTACCTATTTGTGTAAAATTTGGTATAGTTTGGAACTCGAGAAAGGACATAGGATAGCTTTTAAATCAAAAATCTGCAGGCAAAAGCTGGTATTAAAATATTTTACAAACTACCCGTTTCCTCGCGTATTTAAGTTTACATAAATCACTTTTTAATTTAAAAGCACCGAACTAGGATATCAAAGTAATCAAAAGAACCAGCATTTTAAGCGTAACTCATAAAGAACCTTCAGTGCACTCGTTCGACTCGGTCTTGGCTGGATTTCATTTTTTAAAGTCGCTCTTGCTTTTCTCCCAAGAAAGTGGTTTTACCCGGATCGGTATGTGGTCTCCAAAACTAATATCTACTGAATAACTGTATCTGTTAGACGCAGCGCCGCGTTGACCCCAACTTCGTTGAGATAGGACCAAGCGAATGAACACTTTTGTACAAAACAAGGAGCTAATCAACCTAATGTGTGTAATTAATTATTTTAAAACCATTTGTGCTGACGTGTTTCATCTATACTATTCTAACATTCACGTACGCCGAGAACCAATCGCTAGATCGATCTATATACAAATAATGTCGTCAGGCTGTCGGGATGATCAGCGAAACCTTAATTTAATGGAAGTTCCAATACATGTATGTACTTTATTACTGCCATGAGTAGGTCATACTCCACAATGTCTGATAACGTGCACACATACATACACATGTATATACTTGTATAGAACTGTTTGGATGCACACTGCAGTCTCAAAGTCGTGTGTCTGTGTGTCTGTGTGACTACAATAAGTAATAATATATTCCATCTATTACTCTTACAATACTCAGTCGCTCGTTAAGACAAACAATCCACGGAGTCTCACGATGCGCACTAAACTCATTGTTTCGATAGATCAGCTCAATCGTTACGTGTATCAATAATGTCGAATGTTCTACATTTCAACATTCTGTTAATCTAACTAATTATTATATTGGATAATATACAATAACATTAAATCTCATGATTCTTGGAACACGATGATAAACTAATGTGTAGGTACGTTTTGCTGAAATCGATAAGAAACGTCATTGAATATTTAATTATCCTGCTTCTTTACATTCACATTGACGCATTGTTTTAACATTTAAATTAATCTATAAATATGATTTTCATATTTATAAATCAGTCTCGCAGAGCTCTCCGAATCACTATCATAGTATCAAACGAAATTGCTTTTTCTGTCCAACCCAACGGATTTTGATTCGGTTTTTTTAATAGATACAGTGATTACCATTAAATAGTGGACTGAAGTATCAGTATAGCACCCGTGCGAAGGGCGGGTCGCTAGTTTACACTAAAATAAATAAAAGGAACTAATGATAGCTATTTTCTTTGCTTTCTTTACATAATTATATTATGTACCAGTAAGACGGACCGGCACATAATCAGAAGCGCCTGTGTGACGTATAACTAACTGATTTTCGAAGTTCAATGAAAATTATTTTGTACTAGCTATTGCCCGCAACTCGTTGGCTTGCAATAGTGACTTCCTGCAGATTTCTGGTATAAAAACTATTCTATGTCCTTTTTCGAGTTCCAAAATATCACAGGTACCAGTTCAGTTGTTTAGGCGTGAAGAAAATACAGACAGACAGAGCTACTTTCGCATTTATAATATTATAATTAGGATTAACATTCGGCATTGGTTAATACTGAAACCTTCTCCTTGGTGTACCTTACAACATGTGGTAATACATTTATATGCATTCCGAGACTAGATAAACATATATATCAACGTATATTCTAATGTTATCAGTAATTTTGCGTGCGTCGTAGATTACGGTCACCTCAGTATTATTATTGTATTTTGATCGGCGGCTACTATGGCTGCGAGTGCAGAGGGCCTACCGGTTTCTGACGTTGTTGGCACATTTGGCGAGGGTCCCGACCTGCTGCAGCGTGCTCCGGCTGACTGCACTGCAGTCACTGGGCACTGCACCAGCTGCACGAGTCGATGCATTCTGTATGTACTTGCAATACGCAGACAGATATACGTAAATATTGCACGCGTGTGGATATGCTTCTATGTGCCTGCGCGTGCCAGGCGGTGCATTCATTGATAATCGAGCGTTATAATGAAATACAAGTACAGATCAAAAGCACGTCTTTTTTATATCTTAACAAATACAATACTTTTTTGTGAGGGTAAAATCATAAACTGACTTCTCCCACCCAGGCACACATGGATATACTTGTGATTCGATATCGGAGCGAGGGATTTAAGGAATGTTCCATAAATCAGCTGATGTCGGCCCTCGCTACAGACAGTTGACACGGCCACGGTGACGTCACACGGTCGCACGTGCTCGCTGGCGCTGCCGTCCCACATGTATGAGCTTTCTCTTTACAAGAAGGCGCGGAGCGGTGAGAGTGCTACACCACTACTCCACTGCTGTACACACAGCACTGGCCGGCCCTGCGCATGCGCCGGCGTGGTGTACTCGCGCGTCCCGCCACGGCCCCGTAACGTCACGCGGCCAAGATATCAGGCAGAGCCTACAGGATTGCACAATAATGCATTTACATATATTTTATATTGGTAATTGTGTTTAAAACAGTGATTTAAATGAAAGAAATCGATGTACAAATGTAGCTAGACGCAGTGTCGGCGACACTGGTGCTGATGTATACAACTGAATGTATACATTGTATAGTAGCCAGTCTCATTCAGTTTACAGTAATCGCTCAGAAGTGCACATGAGAGTGTGTGTATGTGTGTCTATTGCAAATTTAACTGATGGTTAAATAACGACTCGCTGCCAAGCAACACATGTACAGTGAGCGATCACTGGTCGACCGACGCCAGGCGACATTCCACAGTGACGGTATTACCTGTACTTTATATAATATAATATTTGAACAGTAGTCGCGCAGCACCTGGACTATACTCGATAGCGGGAGACTCAGTCGCAAGGACAGCGCATACAGCGCAGTGCTCGGAAGCTGCGAGCTGTGTGTGAAACCTACCCAATCGTGTAGTACGGTATGCGGCATTGGCTCGACTTGAACATTTATTTACGAACAAAAACATTTGATTACGTAAGCCTTAAAGTATGCGAGGACCGCGCGCCGGCTGCCAGCTGTACGTATATACACACACACATGCACAGCGCGGCTGGCTGTGTATGAGTAACGCGCTCAGCTCTCGGTTTTGCCTTCGAGAGCAGAACAGGAATCGGAAACGAGTCAATGTTCAATGAATATGATAGTCACGTGACGTCACAAGCCTCGAAATCCTAACAAAATTACAACGTAGCAGCAGGCACGCTGTGCTAGCAGAGCTCGCGGTGCGCTCGTCTCCGCATAACACTCTCACGCGGAATTCCTATTACTTTGGAACGAGTTGTGGCCGCGCCCTCCGTGCCCCCGCCCGCGCCCCGCACTGGCCTTCAGCTTGGGCTAGCTAGCCGCACACTCATTAATATTCACTTGAATGTGTTTACCATAAGCGCCTCATGGGGGCAACTGCTTGTGACTCCAGGCATCACCTGTACAGCGCACTAAGCATACATACTGCACTGTCGAAACCTTTCGACAGTGCAGTATGTATACTCTCTGAATCACTCTGGCGACTGCAGTGTTCTGACACACACACGCGGGAGAAAATCCTAGAAGTGCGAAGTTAGAAAGTCTAACGTAGACACAGCTACGCCTCGAGCGTCCCTACTAAAGACATCAACGCGCTACGTGACGCTACTCCTGGTCTATTGCTAATTACTGTACGCGCGCCTTCTCACACACGCACACGCACACAGCACTGCGTGATGCAGCCGATATTATAAGCCTCCGTTGCCTTCGTTAATCGCAAATCCCAAATTTTCTTTCCCCAGTTATCATATTTGTTCTAAACTGATAGGTACCTACATAATGCCGATATATCTGTGACGGCGGTTTTTAAAATAATAATATTATGTAAATGAATGTTAAATTTAACACAAGGTTATCGCAATGTAGATTGTCCTGTAGATACTTGCGTGATATGATTTCAATTATTTTGAAATACATTTTAGGTACGTATTATATGAATAGTATAATCCAACCTGTTTCTACTAGCTGCCTCCCCCAATTGTTCTATTTTTTTGAGTCAGTAAAATTATCCAATGACTTCTTTCATCTTGGGTGGAAGGGAGTGTCAGACTTTTACTGAATAAAAACCTGAGAGGTTCTTCTCCTGCTCCGAGTCAGGTCATGGTAAATCATTGCACTTGGACCCCATCTGTGGTGGTCATCTCGCCCTGGCTGGGGCGTGAGGAGGATCGTTACGGCAAGCGCTCTGCCCTGCCTGAGTAGACTCTTGCCAGTACCTCTCATTCTGCATCAAGACCTGGTGTGTACCTATGGTTCTGCAGTTAAGCAGTTAGCAGCTGTAACGAGCAGAACTAAGAGTGAATATGACGAAAATAGAAGATGAATAATGATGACATCTCATAGGTTAGATATCCAACTAAAAACTTGTTTGAAAAGTAGAAAGTAAAAGTAATATATATAACGTCACACCAGTTGTCCTCCGACGTACAACGAGTGCTCCGACGCCACAATCCCGTTCTTCGTGCAATTAATTCATAATATTTTTTCGAAATTCTAAATAACTAAATAGACTCCTTTCCTCCGTGGGGAATGGAATTCAAGCTACATTCTCTACTAATGAGGAATGGCTCAAGCTAGATACGATTCGAATATGTAGTTATGACAAAAACAACCGGAAAAGTAATTCACTAAAACAAAATACCTAGTTATTTGTGTTTAGGCATATTATGAGAATATTCATTATAATTATACCTTCTCTTAAAATATAAAGGAAAAACGATATCATGATTCTTTTACGTTATATTGTTGCGCTCGTCCATTAGGTTTCCAATTTATGTATTTTGTCGCTTTCTGTACGTTCGGCGCAAACTATCACTTTGAGTGTACTCCATTTAGAGAGTGGCAGCTAAACATTTATTGTCATCTGTAATGACTGCCATCCACGTGTATATTGTCCGGCACAGCTGATGCACACACACACACACACACACAGGCGAGATGAATGGCCGCGCGCCGACTTATGAGCTACAACAAAATTAATTGAAACAATAATTACATCGCGCGCGCGTCGCCAGCACCGAGTGAAAGGGACATCTTCGGTCCGAATAACTTCTTTCAAGACGTTAAAATAAAGAATTTAAATTATCTACTTACAAGTAAAAACGTTGAGCTATAAATATTTAAAAGTGACGAGTATGTGAACATACATACTCCGCGCCGCGGCCGCGCTCCCAATACACGTGTCTATGCAAAACTACATGTCTTTGGTGAAATTGAATACTTTCCCACCCCGCCCCGCGCCCGCCCCGCGCCCGCCCCGCGCCCGCCCCGCCGTACTGCTTCTGCGTACCAATTATAGTTTGGGACTTACAAAGAATGCAAAGTTGATAATACTTTATCTTTATCAACTTTATGACAACCTAAAGTTAGAGCGAAACAATGAGCTGCAATGCTGCAACCAAGAGTCGGCTCGTGTTGTTGATAGCCAAGAAACTGATGCAGTGAGCAGTCCGTGTAGTGCATGAATTAGTGCACAAGTGGCGGCCGCGGGGCGAGCTAGTGCAGCGCTGGATTACCGACCGCGGTGTCCGGCCGCGGCTTATCACCGATAGAGCGCGCTGCGTCCGCATACCTGCCGCGATTACGATATCGCACGCACACACGCGCGCGCCGTGTCGTTGTGTTGGTGCACACATTCGTGAAGCTCGCGTCGCTGAGACCGCGCTCAACTTGATAATCAAATATTTGTTATTCACATTCTTCACAATAACACGACAATTATAACCTTCGTCAGCAATTAAGTTGTTCCCAACAACGTACAGAGGTCGTGCCCGGCACACACTGCAGCGGACACGTACTGCACCACGAGCGCCGTGCAGGCACAGAATAACTAGTAGTAGTGCGGCCGGATTATTATAATAAGAGTTCCAACAGACCCTCTCTCTCCCCACGCAGAGACTCCAGGGACATTGCCAGCCTCGATACAATAAAAACTAAGTAAGTAGGTACCTACGGTTGTTGGTGCTGGTTTCAAATGATTGGACATTGTAACGGAATAGCTCGTTCCCTAATTACCTGCACTGCAGCAGAGCACCTCGTCATCCGCTCTAGACCTGGTTAAAGTGGTTATATTTAAGTAGGATTGTATATGTGTATTTAAGTAGCAATAGTACTTACTATGTTTGTAAGTATTGTAGCCGGCACCACACTCCCCCGGCAGCGCGCACTATGGGCCGCGCAGCTCGTTGACATGCGAGCCGCGTGCGCATGCGCGGTGCGCGGACCTCTCACTCGGAGAAATCGTCTCCCGGCTAGATGTATGACGGCGTGTCTCGTGGCCAATGACGATAGAAGCACTATAATATCCTGTAAGTATGCTGTGGCGCAGGTACCGCGGCGTGATGAGCTCGCTGGCCGCCTGAGCATGGGGTCGCGAGGCGGAGGCACGGCGCGGTCGCGCGGCGACACGCAGCGCGCCCTCGACGAGTTCGACGAGCTGGCGGGGCTGCGGGGCGCGGCCGCCGGCGCCGACAGCGCCAGCCAGGGCGAGCGCAGCGTCTACGTGCTGGAGCACCTGGCCACCTTCACGGTCACCCGGGAGACCGGCATCGTGTACCCCGCCGATGGCATGCGGAGACTGCTGCAGCTAGAGAAAACCAACGGTCAGTGCACTCACTAGTACTCGTAGTACTTGCGCTATGTATTGGCCGGCCTGACAGTGACCCCTAGTTGTTTGCTTACAGGAATATGGAGCCAAAAAATGCAATTGTGTCTGGAGGGTTCCTGGGTGCTGGTCATGGACTACGAAACAGGAGTAAGTTCTGTCGCCGTTTGTGGGGCTAATCATTCATTACGTGCAATCCATGTTGATTACTCTGAGCTAATATATAAATGTTTATTGAAGGCTCCCGTCTCTTGTATACTTCCAGTCGATAATGGAACGCTTCCCCGCGTCGTGGGTTCACTCCCCCACCGCGTTCACGTCGCCGGAGCCCGCCGAGCTGTACAACAACGTGCTCGCGTTCGTGGTGGGCGCGGCGGAGGGCGCGGGAGGGGCGGGCGGGGCGGGGGGAGCGCCGCGCCGCGAGCTGCACATCTTCCAGTGCCACGACGTCAGCGCGCAGGCGCTCGTGGAGGAGCTGAACGCGCTCAAGTAAGTGGCCGGCCCTGACACTGACGGCGGCTTACTCTCCGATACCACAACAAAGCAGCTGCCGCGAGATAGCGCGCGTTATCTCCGTATCTCGGCGGCGGAGAGCGGCTCAGCCTCCGCGCGCTCAGTCTCCTCGAATGATCTACATCAAGCACAAGATCGCGCTGCCCGTGGCCGCCTACTCCTGGTAGTGCTCTGTGTGTGTAGTGTCGTCTGTGTGTCTCTGTCACCAACTCTCCATACACTCGAGATATGTCATGCAGCGCCGCAAGCAGCGCGCCCACACATGTGGACGTTCAATGCTAAAGTGACGAAGTATTAACACGTGTGTGTGTGTGTGTGCAGGGGTGTGACTGGAGGTGGCCCCGGCGACGGCGGACGAGACTTCATCATCGAGAGAGAGCGCGAGCGGGAGCGGGAGAATGACGGCGAGCGGCCGCGGAGACAGGTGCGTGCACTCTGTGTAGTACACCTACACCTTGTTATTGTGACAAGTCACGTTTACTGAAGCACTACAGCGTAACAATGCAGGCAGTGCAGGGAGATGTCGCTAAGACGCAAGTTGCAGCGTGCCCTCGACGTCTTCATTATTCACTTACAAATATCGATCCAGTTATGTATTTGTAATTTGTCAGCGTACCACATTACATTCGTGTCCGGCAAATGTTTGACCAGCACCTTCCCTACATACATAGTGCGAGTGTCAGAGTCAGTCTCTAGCGAAGGAAAGCTGGTTTTGGGGGAATATGTATTGCAATGTTCCCCGCGGACTGTCGGGAACCGAGGCCAGGTTGGGAAGAGGATTTGTTTTTGACACACTTTCGTCCGATATGTGTTTGATAGATTGACATGAACCGGCTGCCGCGGTAGCAGCTTGATGGTGTGTGTGTGTGTGTGTGTGTGTGTGCGTCACCGCGCAACAATGCTGGTTCTAGAAATAGTCTCCGCGATTACACCGACCGCGTATCGCGGGCTATCGTATCGATCCGAGATAACGCGGCTGATAGCAGGGAGCTACAGGGCCGCGCACTGCGCAGGCGCACGGTGACGTCACACGCTTACTGCCATGTAAGCAGGCCACGGGGCTCACGAAGGACGTTCAATCTTTACACACAAGCTGTGACACATTCTGTCAGCAGTCAGTGTACACACAAGCACCCAGCAACGTAATATGTTGCATGCATTATGCTGCATTATGCATTTGTAAGACACGCACGGTACTCCTATTAAGACCGTTTCAGTTCAATTCAATGATTTCATTTACCTTATTTTGACTTGTGTTACCTTATATTATTCCTCTTATTTCTCTATTACCTTAGAGTTAGATACATGAGAGGTAATGTTGTTTATATAAAGTTTAACAACTTGCATATGTTATACACCAAGTTATTAACTCGAGTATTATTAATAATGCCCGACTATTAAGTATAATGTCTAGCACTATCGGGCTAAGTGATTAATTATTATCTAAAATTCATTATTTATCATAATGCACTGGCATTATTAAATGGCTATGTGATATTAGAGCGATTTGCTGACACTGTTTGCTGACACTGTGGGGATCCGAGGTCGTGCGTAACAGCCTCTACCCTTTTATAAACTGGGAACAAAACAAGGTGTTTTAAATCAACTGTAGTCACGGAACCAATTTGCAGTCTACAAGTAAAGACTCCTTTGAAGATGTCACAGAGATGGAGATTTCTTTAAGAGAGAGTTGTGGAATACCATCTTAGTGCAATGACGATATAACCGCAATCCTCTGTGCATAAAGGCGTAGGGCAGAGTTATAACAGATCAGCTGGGGTCCCGGGGCAAGCGCAAAATACGCACTGCTGCCTCTTGCCAGCAGGAGAAGGAACAGGGGGGGAGGGGTTGTCAGTAAGAGTCTGACACTCCCTCTCGCCTCACCCTGGGCGGGAGAAGACATTTGCTGGTTTTCCCTTCACAAAAAAGAGTTATAGCAGATGTATTGATAAATGTAGTTAAAGTACAAATAGATAAAGTTGTGTAGGTACCTCAAAATGCTACCATATCGGCCGGTGTTGTAATAAGTAAATTATATTACTTAACAGTATTGTTTTCCATGTTACGTTCTGTTATATTCGTGTACAAATTACTTTTATAAACAAAGTGTTAAAAAAAACATTTGACAAAGACAAATTTTGATTTTTTGTTTAGTGTTAGTATATCTTTCATACAACTTTCCTTTAATTTTAAATGCAAAATTTAGTGATTTTTAAGCCCCGACCGGAAAAGAGGGGTGTTATAACTTTGACTTTGTGTCTGTCTGTCTGTGGATCCTACTTTTTATGCGTCTTGTGGATAAAATATATATGTTTGTATCACTTCCCTATAAAGTGATAAATAAATATTATGCATTGTATAATGCCCGTTGAAAATGATTATGTATAAAGCTCAATTTATCATTTGGTTATAATGTATACTTGTTGCATTGTCACTGTGTACTGGTAGGGCGGGGAGGGAAAGAGTGACTATACTCCTGTCGGACCACTGGCGACACCTGTCGGCGGCCCCTGCACCAGCCGCTACAAGTCACGCTCCCTAGCTACGTCCATACAGCTGTAGTTTCGGGTAGTTTGCTTAAAGACTACTTCTTGCGTTTCAATGATTTAACATTTAGGTACAAATATTACCAAACACGACTGCGACATTTGAAAACATGCTCCTGATAACTTACAACCAACACATGGACGTACCTACCTATGTATGTATGTATATATATAAAGTTTCGTAAGAGCGTGCTATACATACCTACGCACTATGTACCTGTATAATGTTGTGTATGCTGCGTACACGTGTGTGTGTGTGTGTGTGTGTGTGCGTTACATGTTGAGTCACCCGGACCATCGCTCGGAATATTTATCTTATCGCGATTCATTACAACATTACAGGTACTATCTGAAAATATTTATTTCAATGTATATTTACCAAATTTTATGATTGTTAGCGCGTAAATATGATACTGTTTCTTGGACTTTTAAATGAAGAGCAAGCTAAGTAACACGCTTAGAATATATAAAGTGAGGCGAGTAGAGTGAGAGGGTCGCAGAGGGTCGCAGAGGGTCGCAGAGTGTCAGGCAACAGGGCGAGGTTGTTGTTGTTGTGGAGCGCGGCCGCATGCTTGATTAGCGGATTAGTAGTGAGCGAGTTATCAGCGCGATAAGGTCGGAGGTGGAAGGGAGCACCGCATTCTGCGCCCGGCGGCCGCGGCGGCACCATGGAGCGCCTCTACCACACGTACACGCACCAGCAGTGGGAGGCCGTGCTCACCGTGAGTACCGCCGGCACTCCGCCCCGCGCCAGCTCCGCGGCGCTCACTGTACTCTTTGTGTTGCAGCAAATGTCGGCGCAGCTGGGGCGCGGCGAGCGCGGCGGCAGCGGCGGCGAGCGCGACGACGCCTCGTCCACGGGCTCGGAGCGGCTGTACGAGCAGGACATCGCCATCCTCAACCGCTGCTTCGACGACATCGAGAAGTTCATCGCGCGCCTGCAGCACGCGGCGGCCGCGCAGCGCGAGCTCGAGCGCAGGCGGCGCTCGCGCGGGGGGCGCCGCGGGACAGGTACACACTACATGCTCATACGAGCACTTCTCGAATGTTGTTTACTATTGTATACCAGTCAGTCTGTCAGTCAGTGTCGTTCGTGCTTCAATCGTTTGGAGAAGAACGAGTAAGAAACTGCATAAATAAATTATTTCAACATAACAATTAATGTAATCATAAAAACAACGTCGCAGTTTGACGCGACGGGAGCAATCCATTCAATTGCAAAAACAGTAAGTAACCCGACGAGCTCGGCCCGCAGGCAGCGGAGGCGCCAACGCGGGCGAGGGCATGCTGGCGCTGCGGACGCGGCCGCCGCCGGAGCGCGACTTCGTGGACGTGCTGCAGAAGTTCAAGCTGTCGTTCAACCTGCTGGCGCGGCTGCGCGCGCATATCCACGACCCGAACGCGCCCGAGCTGGTGCACTTCCTGTTCACGCCGCTGGCGCTGATCGTGGACGCGGCGCAGGACACGGCGGACGGCCGCCTGCCGTCGCGCGTCGTGCAGCCCTTGCTGACGCGGGACGCGCTCAACCTGCTCGCCAACTGCGTCACCAGCAAGGAGACCGAGCTCTGGCACTCGCTGGGCGACGCCTGGCTCATCCCCAGGTACCGTGCCGACCCTCGTATCGAGGCTAATCCGTGGCCATCGTTTATTATTAGCCACCCGATAATCCGCGCGGTATAAAATTCCGGTGAGCGTCGATAAAGGGGCTCTCTACGTAAAATTAACAGATAACATATCATATCATTCAAATTATTGTGATATTATGCAAATCGTGGCCATTTCAAGGGAGCACAGTCTTACTGATCCGATGCTGGACTGCAGCGACCTCCGGCAGTACTGCAGGGGCTGCAGCCAGCAGGCACCAGCTAGTACACAAGCACAGCTAGGCCTCAATGACTAGGAGCGAGCCGCCAAAGTCAGAAGGCGTCAAATTAATTTATTGCTACAGATTGCTAATGCTTAATCTTTAGTTAGGTAGCTGTATCTTATCTCTGTGTAATAATTGATTAGTCAGAGACTATGCGTGAAGCAATGTGCGCGTGGAGCAACTGTAGTTGAAGCAACACCAATGTTATTAAAGGATCCATTAAACGTTGGTAATCTATGAGCCGAGTCACTCAGTCTGTGCAACGTCCCGAGTGCGAACTGTTATTTAACGAATATGTACAGCTGCTACTGGCGGCTACTACAAACTTACTTAGTCATCGGACAGCTACTGAATACTGTTGACTACACGAACTCCATCTCAAGTTGCTACGGAATATACGTACCTATGTAAACAGTCCGTTACCGATGTGCAATGCGTCTTAATCAATTTTCGTCTCTCTCAATTTTTTCTGCGACCTGATCAGTTAGCTAAATGTAGAAGCGCATAAGCGTAACAGATCATTTATCATAACTTCTTAAAATTCTTATTATCTTATTGCAACAGAAATCCTGGTCAGGAATTTAGTTTTTAGACGTATTAATATAATAAATACCTTTTTCAAAACAAGTTCTTTTGAATACGCTATAAAGATCTAAGTGGCTCACTAAGCTCGTGGCGTGCGGCAGACTCTCGATCCTTGTACTGTAGCTAACAGTGTTGCTCTGTGTGTGACCAGGGAACAATGGAAGACGACCATCCCGCCGTACCAGCCTGTGTTCATGGACGGCTGGAGCCCCGACTACCAGGTGGACGACCAGCCGCTGCGGAGGTTGGTCACTTAACTGTACATCTCTGTATGTCTGTGTGTGGGTGCATCTGTGTATACGTTGTGTTGTTGGGTTCATGGAAGTCGGCATCTGGCGCATCATCATCATCATCATCATCATCAGCCTGTTGTCGTCCACTGCTGGACATAGGCCTCCCCAATTGCACGCCACTGAGCTCGATGTTCAGCTCTTCTCATCCAACCACTGCCAGCCACCCTGCGGATGTCGTCAGTCTACCTAGCTGGAGGGCGCATCATTCCGAGTTAATTCTGCAGCTAATATCATCGTAGCGATGGCGCCTGGTTGTGGGGTCTATCGCCTCACACAGTTTCACCTAGATAGTAGTTGTGATGTCGCTTTGTGTTGTGACGTGTGGTGTGGTGTCAGGTCGTCCCCGCGGCGCAGCTCGGGCGGGCGCGCCGAGCTGGCGGCCGCCGAGCCCGCCGCGTACGAGCGCTACGAGCGCGACGAGCCCGACATGTACGCCGAGCAGTACGCACCCTACCCCAGGTACACAACCACACCCAGATTAACACTGGTAATGCGTAAAACCGTTACAAAATAATGATTAAAAAATTCGTCTAAAAATCTTTATTATTCACAATTAACTTGTGTGTGCTATATTGTTCTGATATTTAGAATGCTCATGATTTTGTTTCGGCATTTCTTCTCAGAGTAATCAGATAGGAAATGCCGGCTTCATCTAGTTTTTCACATATAAATTGACGTGTAAAAGCTAGTGCCGTTTTATGGCCTATTTGCAAAAATAAATTCATTGTTTCATTGAAGCCAGAATGTCGTTATATGTTTTTATAATAACTATCGTGAGACATACTAAATTAACTAAAATTCGCGGGTTACTCACGTGTAAATGATGAGAAAAGCTCTACTAGTTTCGAACCACAGAGGGGTTCTTCCTCATGAGCAGCGTGCGCGGACGCGGCGACGTCGCGCAGCCTACTGGTTAGCGTTGGCGCCTGCATCGCTGTTGATGGTTGCGCTGCGGCGAGTCCAACGCGCCATCTGCCGGATACCACGCGCGTTTGCTGCCATCTCCGGCGGCGGCGCGTGTGACGATGTTGAGGCGCACGGTACGTTCACCAGTGGCGCGGGTAGTGGGTTCGATTCCGGGCCCGGCACAAAGTCTGTGTTACATATGACGCTTACTGTGTCACACTCCAGACTGGATACGCTTCGGACCGACGTAGTCTCCAAGCTCGGCTTCCACGCGGGTGGCAATGCCCAGCCACCATCCCTGTTGAAGCACGGACGTCGGCTAATCTCGATGGCCTCTCGCACTTTTCGCGGAACGAAGTATTTCTCCCTCGCTAGTACGGAGACCTTATCAAAACGTATGAAGTGAGCCGCATCCGTGCCGCAAACATGTTCAGCCACAGCCGATGCCTGGATGTCCATCTTCTTCACGCTACGTATATGTTCCTTTAGCCTGGTTGTGATGTTGCGCCGAGTTTCTCCGATGTAACTTGAGCCACAGTCGCAAGGTATAATGTACACACCGGGCACAGCTAGTGGATCCTTATCCTTTGGCGAGCGTAGCAGTTGTCTCAGCTGACCGGGTGGGCGGAAGATCGTCCTGATGCTATATTTACGTTGCAGCAGGTGTCCGATTCTGTCGGTTACTCCTTTCACGTAGGGTAAGAACGCTGGAGTCCGCTCCGCAACTGCTGGTCGCTTCCTACTCGAGCTGCTCGCTAGTCGAGTACATTGACGCCAGTTGTATCCATTGTTCTCCAGTACCCTTTTTAAATGGTGAAATTCGTCGTCAATGTACTGTGGATCGCATACGGTACGTCGATGACGTATTCGCAATCATCAACCGGGAACATGTAGCTGAATTTGTGGGACACTTGAACTCAGTGCACGGCAGTATACAATTCACCACTGAAGAAGAGAGAGAAGGGATGTTGCCGTTCTTGGATGTCCTCGTAAGACGAGAAGAAAGTGGTCGATTGTCACACACAGTGTATCGAAAACCGACACACACAGACCGATACTTACGAGCTGACTCACATCATCATCCCTCCCACCTAGCCGCTGTCCCGCGGACTTTGATAAACCGGGCGCTGAGTCTATGCGATCCACAGTACATTGACGACGAATTTCACCATTTAAAAAGGGTACTGGAGAACAATGGATACAACTGGCGTCAATGTACTCGACTAGCGAGCAGCTCGAGTAGGAAGCGACCAGCAGTTGCGGAGCGGACTCCAGCGTTCTTACCCTACGTGAAAGGAGTAACCGACAGAATCGGACACCTGCTGCAACGTAAATATAGCATCAGGACGATCTTCCGCCCACCCGGTCAGCTGAGACAACTGCTACGCTCGCCAAAGGATAAGGATCCACTAGCTGTGCCCGGTGTGTACATTATACCTTGCGACTGTGGCTCAAGTTACATCGGAGAAACTCGGCGCAACATCACAACCAGGCTAAAGGAACATATACGTAGCGTGAAGAAGATGGACATCCAGGCATCGGCTGTGGCTGAACATGTTTGCGGCACGGATGCGGCTCACTTCATACGTTTTGATAAGGTCTCCGTACTAGCGAGGGAGAAATACTTCGTTCCGCGAAAAGTGCGAGAGGCCATCGAGATTAGCCGACGTCCGTGCTTCAACAGGGATGGTGGCTGGGCATTGCCACCCGCGTGGAAGCCGAGCTTGGAGACTACGTCGGTCCGAAGCGTATCCAGTCTGGAGTGTGACACAGTAAGCGTCATATGTAACACAGACTTTGTGCCGGGCCCGGAATCGAACCCACTACCCGCGCCACTGGTGAACGTACCGTGCGCCTCAACATCGTCACACGCGCCGCCGCCGGAGATGGCAGCAAACGCGCGTGGTATCCGGCAGATGGCGCGTTGGACTCGCCGCAGCGCAACCATCAACAGCGATGCAGGCGCCAACGCTAACCAGTAGGCTGCGCGACGTCGCCGCGTCCGCGCACGCTGCTCATGAGGAAGAACCCCTCTGTGGTTCGAAACTAGTAGAGCTTTTCTCATCATTTACACGTGAGTAACCCGCGAATTTTAGTTAATGTCGTTATACCTACGTGAAAACTTATTATTGGCTTTCTTTTATTTAAGATTGTGCTGTTATTTGTTGTTTTAGCTGTTAGTTTTACGTGTAAATATAATAATAATAAATAAATAAATATTAAAAATAGATTTCACCAAACACTTGGATTTTCTCGTGTCTCGTGGTTGTGACGATTGTATTTTGGGATATAGATATAGGGATTGGTGAGGGAAGGGAGGAGGGGAAGGATTGGGCCTTCGGTAACCTCACTCACACATCGAAATCTAGTTTAATTTATTATTCACGTTGGATTGACGAGACGACCCATTCGTACTTCCAACCACTCAAGTGAAACCACGGACTAAAAGCTAGTGTGACCTTCTCTATTATAATTTTTATTTTGACTTGTCGTTTTACATTTCTATGGTTATAATGTCTTCCAAGAGTGAGAGGGTAATCAGAGTCCCTTGTGATGTTTACAGGAACATGCGCGGCATAGGGCGCGACGACTCGGGCAGCGCGGCCTCCTCGCCCGACCGGGAGCCGTACCGGGGGGACCGGGACGACGGTAAGTGGGGGGCAGGCTGCGGGGGGCGGGGGGGGGGGGCGGGGTGGCAGCGGGCTGGGTGCTGATGGTGGCGCGTGCTTGCAGATGACCTGGGCGAGGCGTGGGCGCGCGGCGTGATGGCGCGCGGCGGCCGCGTCGTGCGCGTCACGTACCCGCGCACCGCCAACAACGACAAGGAGCTGACCGTCGTGCGCGGCGAGTACCTCGAGGTGAGTGCGGCGGCCCGGCCCCGGCCCCGGCAGTGCCGGCCCCGACGGGGCTCTGTACTGTAGCGGCGCGCTCTGTGCAGGTGCTGGACGACTCCCGCAAGTGGTGGAAGGCGCGCAACCGGCGCGGCGTCACGGCGCACGTGCCGCACACCATCGTGGCGCCGGCGAGCTCGCCGCCTGCCTCGCCGCACCTCTACCCCAACCCCATCTACACACACTACCAGGTTAGTGCCCACACTGCATCCCCAGCTCAGACCTCCCCACAAACCAGCCAGTAAAGCAAACAATATTGGAGAAAAATTTGAACAATCCTGTGGGATCTCTGTTTAGGAAATATTTTAATTAAAATAGCGCATAATTTAATAAGGCACTTTTCGATATTAATTAAATGTAGTAAAATATTACTTTCGTCCATTATATTTATTTGTTAAGAATAGATTTCAATATAAACGTGGCGTTTATAGTGAGACACAAGATGGTTAACGTGCCGCGACGTATGTTGCAGGAGAACGCAGGCGGACGCGGCTCCGGCGGCAGCAGTCCCACGGGCCCCACGGGTAGGGGCGCAGGCGGGCAGGCGGGAGGCGCGGGGGCCGCGGGGCCGGGGGGCGCGGGCGCTGCCGACTGGGTGCGCCGCGAAAGGCTCGGCAAGAAGGGCGAGTTCCGCTACTTCTAGCGCGCACCTCGTGCTGCGTTAGACGGCTCTAGACAACGCTAGGCTGCGCTAGGCAGCGCTAAGTTGCGCTAGGCGGCGATAGGTTGCGCTAGGCTGCGCTAGGCGGCGCTAGGTGGCGCTAAGTTGCGCTAGGCGGTGCCCAGTCGGCCGCGTGCTTGAGTGTGTGCGCTTGGCTCGTGTTGTCGCGTCCCGAGTGACTGTGTCGTGTGTGTACATGTGTCATAAAGTCTGATTTAAATTATTAACTTTGTCGATGTATACGTAGTACAGTCGCCGCTCCGCTCGCAGCGAGCGCCGAGCGTGCGACGCGCGCGACGCGCAGTGTCCGGTACTTATCGTTATAATGTATTTGTTTTAAATTATTATATTGTGATTAATCACGAATATATACAAATGAGTAATATATCTGTAGCTAGATATTATGTAAATTAAACAAATTATATGGGTATATTTTCATACAATTAATATATTGAGAGCGGCGAGTGGGAGTCTTCTCTGCCGTCATCTAAGTAATGCTCCCTATATGTACCTACTTTATAATTAAATTCACTTCTATCAAACTCGGTGTTGGTTTGTCAGTGTACCCTCCCCCCCTCAACCTCCCTCATATAGTATAATATGAAACATGCAGAGCAGTGCATATATTCCCCGGCACAGAATTAATTTGTTTGTGTTTGTGTTTGTGGTTTGTGCTTCGCTTAAATAAATGTTGTTTTCGTGTGCGTCTGTGTGTGCAGCCATGTCAGGGTAAGTCAGCTTATATTTTGTTTTGTACCTAAGTTGAATTGAATCGCTTTAATTCCCTAGCTCATACAGACCGCACAGTACGCGAACTGTTGTGGAATACCATTAAGAAGTGGACGTGACGTGTACAAGTGAGTGCAATGTTACAGAGCGTGCGATGCCGCCTCCCCCCCCGCCGCCGCCGCCGCCACCCCCCGCCCCCACTCCGGGCGCGCCGGCGGCCGCACCACCACCCCCCCGCACCACGTCTGACACCATCAAATGTAAGTTCCTCTACCACTTCACGACCTCTATGTTACGATCCAATAAGTCCAGGCGAGAGATTCAACCAAACACTGCGAACATTTTGCAGCGACCAAGTCTATGATGAGCCAGAACGACGGGCTGCAGGAGGAGCTGAAGCTGGTGCTGCCAGCCATTCAGCAGCGGAAGAATAAGCTTGACATCAAGAAGACGCCAGACATCTTCATTGATCAGGTACCTCACACACCCGCTAAAACGATGAAGCTGTCTATTGCCTGTCGAGCTGCGGTCTTCACAGCCATTTCCCATTCACAGAAATCGAACCCCGACGAGGTGGCAGAATGGCTGGAAGCGAAAGGTTTCAACGCGGCCACCCAGCGCGCGCTGCGCATGCCCGGCCACCAGCTGTTCGGGCTGACGCGAGCGCAGCTGGAGAAGGCGCTGGGCGCCGACGAGGGCAAGCGCCTCTACAGCCAGATCCTCGTGCAGCGCAATATCTCGGGGGTGAGTCGCCGGCTCTACGGTGAGGCACCGGCTAGCTCTCACTCACTCACTCACTCATTCCCACACTCATACAATCACACACTCACACAGTACAGTTACTATACAGCATTGGCATCCTGTTGCAGTACAAGACGACCTCCGCGTCGGAGCTGCAGAGTATCCTGCGCAAGGTCCGCGAGAAGGTGGAGGTCTCGTGAGCAGAGGAGTGGGCGGGGCGTGGGGAGTGGGCGGGGCGAGCGCGGCGCGGGACCTGCGCGTGATGCGCGGGCGCACGCTGCACGACGAGGACGACGACTCGTCGACGTGCTGACATAATACATAGGTGTATAGTCTACATCGTAAGGACGATTTTATAAACATTTTATAAGATGAGCGAGAACTTGTTTAGGCTAAATCTTCAATATTTTGTATTAAATATTTATAAATGATCATTAAAACGAAATTATGTTTTGTTTTTAAAACCTGTGTTTTATTTTGAGGACTAAAAAAATATCCTGACACAGTACAATATGTTGCTAGATGTCACGACGTGCACTCAAGTCTGGACTGAATCAACACCAAAAGAGTTGCCGGCCGCCATTTTAGGGTCATAACTTATATAATTTATTTCACTAAAGCACTTATAAAATTGAATTGTGCGTCAGAACAAAAGAATGAAGAAGAAGGAGGAGAAACTAGATCGTGTAATCGCAATCGTTTTAATTGTATTGTAAGAAGCTGATCGTACCATAACCTGTAGAAAAAATAAAATTTCGTATCAAAAATGGTGCTGCTCATCTACACTAATAAAGAAGGCTGTACGAAATACAGTTTATCAATGTCAATCGCGCGCGCAGTCAGCAGTTCCACACTGACCCCAACATTTAGTGTTAATATTAACATTATTGTAAAGTTAGTTAACGTTCGGTCACCAACCAAGCCGCGTTTGCTCGTACCATTAACCATTACCATTTTAACCAATATACCATATCTTACCATACAAGTTCTACTATTTATTTGTTGGATTTACTCCCAACAAAGGCAACTTTGTTTATTTTACTTAAAATTATTTATATCAGATATATGTATATTATTTATACCAGATATAAATAATTGTAAGTTTAAATTTAAATTTTAAAATGATCATTATAATTATTATCATCTGCCGGAAGACGACCACTGGTAAACAACCCCCCCCCCCCCCCCTCCTTAGTCCTCCACGTCGAACGATAACTAGCCATCTGCATCCATTGGTGATTCACTCTGACGATGTCGATGGTCCACCTAGCGGGGGCCTGCCCACGCTACATTTTCCGGCGCTATTTATAGTGGTCTACTACAAGGATGTCGTTCCCAACGATGACTGGTGCAGGTGCAACAAGTCCATGTTCATTTTTAGATCCACCTGTTGAGAAACGACATCGAGGTCGCTGGTGTTCAGGTCCTCCAACGATTCTGCCATAACGATTTTATCAACGGCGAAGCACAGGTGAGTTGTGTAGTCGCCATTAACACGCTTACTGTGTTATGAGGTCGAACAAACCACATGCATGGTTCCTGGGTGGTTATTCATGGGTTGGAAGTCAAAATCGCGTACTCTCACTCTGTGCAGGGGGCGAACACGTTAACTTTTTAATGAGAACGACAAAGACAAATTTACAACATAGCTAACTAACTTAATAGCCGAGTTTAGTGATGTAGTTCTATACTTGTTGGTATTTTTTTTTGTGCGGACCCTCATTGTACCTTGTTTAGGTATTTTTGGGTCATAACTTTTGCCGTCGCTCCGTCGCAGTTGCACAGGCACTTGCGTAAGTAAAAAAAAAATAAAAAATAAAAATGCATTTATTTTCCACCACTAATGTAGGAACAGTTTAGACAGTAAATAACAATTCAGGGGTGGACTGGAGCCTAAACTAGGGTACCCCTGTATTTCAGGACTCCAGGTCACTCGCCTGCGGAATAAGCATTGGATACCTAACACATTAAGAAGGAGGTGGACAGGGATTTGCTTTGTGTGCGCGCGCGCTCGTGTATGTGGGTGTTTGTGTGTGAGAGAGAGAGAGAGGCAGTGTGTGTCTAAGTGTATGTGCGTGCATGTGTGTACGTGTATACATGTACATCTGTATGTGCATGGAGAGTGCTTACTTCATTACTTTTAAGAGAGATTCAGTATCATTGTAATTTAGGCCCAACAGGTAACTTTTGATCGACACTTTACACTCTTTATTTTTAGGATATATATTTAAGAGAGAGTTAATTTTATTGTAAAGGTAAGGTGCGAGAAAAGGCGGTTGTCTCTTAAAGAAGGCTGTGTGACGCGTGACGGAATCACAGATCTTTGTGCTCTTTCGACTAGTATAATTTTTGTCCTGCACGCTCCACCCCAAGCCGGTATGCAAATTTGTATGATCGACTGAACCAGAGAGTAGTAAACAGTTTTGAGAAGAGCTAGTTTGACAACGTTTCGGAGTTTTTTTAATATCCAAATCGTTTTGCGTACTCTAGCTGATAACAATGCCAGGTGAGCATCCCAGGATAGTGTATCATCGAGGAGGATACCAAGGTACCTTATATTGTTGGTTCTAGTAAGGGGAGGACAGGAGCAGGTCGTTGTTTTAACATAGTTGCATAAGAGTAGTTTAAGGGAGAAACTATTAGTAGGTTGAGTGGATTTATTTATTAAAAAGTAATATACTTGGATTTATTTACATTTAGGGTTACTATGTTTAAAGCCCTCTTCAGCAAAAGAGAGTTTCGGCCCAAGTCTCTCGTTGAAATAATAGTGTCATCAGCGTAAGAGAAAATATTTCCGTTTGATGGAATATAATTACAGAGATCGTTTACATAAATAAGAAAGAGACTCGGGCCAAGGACAGAGGCCTGGGGCACACCGCAAGTTACTGGGACTGGACTGCTGATGTGGTTACTATTTTTTGTAGTTTGAGTTCTGTTGTCTTTTTGTAGTTAAGAAATTTTGAAAAAGTTGAAGAGGTAATCCACCTATACCTATCTTTTTCAACTTCTTTAGAAGCAGATGCGTAGAAGTCGTGTCGAAAGCCTTCGCCATATTCAAAAAGACACCCAAGCACTTTCGGCCCCGGTCCAAATTACCCGAAAGGTGGTTAATGAGTTGAACTACTGCATCGTCTGTTGATTTATTGGGCTGAAAACCAAATTGTAAGTCTAAGAGACTTTTTTCTTGAACCAGATATTTCATCAGGCATTTATTAATAAGCTTTTCAAGCAATTTATTTGACAGCCCCGTCAGCACAGAGATTGGGAGATAGTTCTCGACACAGTCACTACTCCCGTTTTTGTGCACGGGATGTATAATGGAACGTTTAAAATTATCGGTAAAAATACCTTTATTTAGGCAAAGATTGAAGATATTAGTTAGAATCGGGATGATAATATGCTTTATGCGTTTTAAAAATGCAACTGGAATGTTATCCCATCCTCTAGCAGAGTCATTCTTGAGGTCATAATAGTGCACCCACTTCATCTGAGTCAGTATCGAACAGTACATCTGTCTCTTGAAGGGAGTTAATTGCCATATCGTAGTTAGTAACTTGCTTACATTTAGGGCCATTTTTGGATTTTTTAGGTTTAATAGAACAGGCAAATGATCAGTAATGTGTGTGTTTATAACAAATTTTTGAGCTTCCAGGTTAGTCTTTAGATTAATGTTCATTCAGAAATGAGGCTGAATATTGACAAATTCCAACATTTTCACCACTCCAAACTATGTCACAATCATTTTGCAGAAACCTCGTTAAGCCTACATTATTGATTGAAAAATTGTCAGAATGTCGACCTATTTTAAAAATTATTTATGCGTCATTTGCAAACAGTTTAAGTAGAAATGGCAACATTAAAAAGAGAAAAAGTCCCAATATTGAACCCTGCTGGCGCCCATTCATTTACATAAACCTTTAGTTTTTTTCTTTTTTTTTAGTTGCCGATCCTCTCAATTTGATTTTAAAAGACGGAGCGCAGTGTGTCTAATCCTAGTGATCAATTTTAAGAAAAAGTGTTTTATTATCAACGCTATCCAACGCTTTGAGAGGTCGCAGAAGACAGCAACAGCATCCTGTGCTTCCTCCCAAGCACCGTATATTTCCTTTATTAAAGTGACACCGGCGTCAGTTGTACAACGACCGTTAGTGGAACTGTATTGTTGGTGATGGAAGATGGCATGTTTATCAAAGTGTTGAAGCATCTGAGATAGCATTAACTTTTCAAACACTTTGCTAAGAACCGACTGAATAGACACAGGCCTATAGTTGTTTGGTTCTTTAGTGTCACCGTTTTTGAATAGTGGGATACTTTACTGTATTTCATTAAGTTGGGAAAGACAGTTCGGATAAGTGATCTGTTGACTTTTACCGACCATTCTCATCTTTAAAAGCATTATTATATTGGAAACTAAAGCCGTATTTACATTATTTGATATTTTTCCTAAGCTAAAATACCTAATGAGCCGTTGTTTTGACACACGTATATAAGCAAAAAGTGTCCTGAGCTACATCTGCACTTGATGAAATCTTTCACCTTAGTAAGTAAAAGTCTGACACTCCCACTTACCCCAGGGCAGCAAGCAGGGCGTAAGAAGTCATTTGCCACTCGCAACAGAAAAGTAACTCCGTATGGTTTGTAGAAGGTAAAGGTTATGTTAAATAAAATGACATTATACAGAAATTGAGTTTATTTTATTCTTAACTTAAAATGTAGAAATAGTGACACATGTACCGCGGCCCGCGACAGTGCAGCGGAGCTTACTATGTATGTGAGTGCTGGCCGGTCCCGTGCTGGTACATCTGTCATTATATATTTATGAAAACAAAATAACATTATCGGATGCACCTCGAGTATGGCACGATATGTTTCCCGAGCGACCCGCAGCCGCCACGCAACGGTCCCGCTACCGTCCCGCAGCCGTCGACATGACGGGAAAGTTAATCACATAGCTGCCACAAGTAACTTCGACCTTGTTATACACAAAATAAAATGGCTTCTGTTAAGAGTCGATCTATCGGGCTGCGGCTGGGGCGAGGCCCGGGCTGCCTGCTGCCTCCCTAACTTTTATATATTTAATATCTCTCAGTCCTTGTCACAACTAACGTACACACTATGCTAGGCTCTAACTCACTAACTGAATCATTCCTCTCCCTCTCTCACTGACACACAAATACACATGCACATCTTTCAGAACCTTTATTACATAGTTTTTCTCACATTCTCAGCACTGGACATCAGCTGATTGCTGGGGAAGTATATAATCGGAACGATCGTATCAAACGTGAGACAACGCTATAAAAATATAATTATAATTAATATGAAATTATAACATGAACTATATAAAACATTATTGCACGAAATGTGCCAACTCGAACTCGACCAGCGAGCGACACACGAACAAGCGCCGGGAGCGCTGTACCGTGCTACATGTGGCATCGTAACTACGTAGCCTCCTACTACTCGTATTCTACAGCGCGAGTCCTGCAGGGCGTAGTATGTGGCGTGTAGCCTACAGCTCGTAGCTTGTAGCGCATACTATGTATACACGCTACACTCGCTTCCGGGCCCACACATATACATTCACACACACAAACAAACTGGCTATACTACTTAAATGTCTAAAATGAGCGTAACAACATCACATCATAGGTAACAATATCATTCTGGTGACGTCACTCGGCACAGGACGCCCTCAGTGCGAGTATTGAGTACAGCGCGCTACGCACTCTTGTGTTCTAGAACATATATTACAACGACTATTGAGAAATGAACGCAGGTTATATGTTGGAGTGTGTTGGAATGGGTCCACGTGGAGTGTCTCCGGGCACTAGGAGTCGCGCGCCGCCAGCCGCGCCGCGATGGCCGCCGTCAGCGCCGAGCCCTTGCCGCTGCCGTCCTCCGCGGCCAGCAGCGAGAACTGCAACCGACAGACATGTTGCTTACACAGGGTCACCTAGTGGCTATGTAGGGAAATATTTTATCGTGACATTGTGTCTACGGTAACATGAAGTTTCATTGGGAAAGATATTTTAGTTTTTTTATTGAGGGAAAGACTATTGTAGAGAACCCATCTCAAAAAGACGTTTCGCATACAAAAATACAGTAAGACAGTGTATTATTATTAAATGGGACAAGCCCACCACATCCTCCAAGAACCGCCGCAACTGTTATGCCCCAGGATCTATAGTTGATAAAACCATGAAAACACCGGAACACTAAAGTCCCAGGGAGGGAAAAAAGTCGAAATATTTTCCTTAATTCTTCCCTCGATAGATTTAATGACAGAGACAGAATGACTAAAACATTAAAGGTACAAAAGAGACTGTACAACTGGGAGAAGCCCAGTCACTAAACACTACAAAAAATGTACTAGTTATTGTTGTTTCCAGTAATAGGTTTGGCAAAAATGACGGCTTCACGTTGTGTGCTGTGAGTGGCTGGCTACAGTCATAGAGGAGTGTTACCGAGTGATGCGGCGCGAGGAGCGCGATGTAGGTGCGCATGAGTGTCGCGATGCGCGGGTGGTGCTTGAACACGGAGCCGTCCACCGCCACCGCCACGTGCGGCCGCGCCATGCGACGCACCAACGTCGAGATACCTGCACAACACGACCCTCGTTAGTATACACGAACAGCGGGGAGCCACGGCTAATACTGTTTTGTAAACGGATAGGGTAACAAACAAACAGGACAATCCGCGTCGCATATTTATGGCTCATTTTGATTGAAGCCGGCGCTAAACAACCACATCGTTGTTTCCCCGTGTGAATGAGGTTACCGGAGTCCCAATCCTTCTTCCCTTCCCTCAATCCTTAACTACTCCGGTTTTTCGGGTGAGCGGCGCCGTTTGCTTACCATCAGCTAATCCGGTTGCTAGTTTGCAGACCCATCACAAAGAAATGCAGAATCAGTCATAAACAGTATCATCTTAAAATTCAGCCAGTGGGAAGATAAACCAGAGAGCGAGCAAGAAGCGCAAGAAGTGCAAGAAGCGCAAGAAGCGTGGTGTGGTCACTGACAGACGGAGACGAGCTGTGCGGCGCGGTTGGAGATGACGTGCGCCACGTGCTGCGCGACGCGCGCGTCCTCCGCCGACAGCGCTGCGCACGCGCACACCTCGCGCAGCACCTCCAGCGACCGGGACACCTCGCCCGCGCAGTTCTCTCTGGGGGGGAACAATGTCACCATTACATCACGATGCACGTCTACTCATGTTCTACATAGAAAGAAAACGCGCTATGTTTAATACATGAATCTCTATTAAGGACTCGAAGTTTCACACGCATCACAATTGGGTACTTTCCTTAGTAAAAAAATAAATTGTTAATCTCTTAAATAAAATGGTAAAACTTGCTATCTAATACGAAAATGGCGGCGTCTCAAATAAATTGTATGTTGATTGTTGAGTTGACACTACAAATAAAATTTTCACAGCTCGAAATAATTATCGAACGTGACTGATTGCCAATTATCTAATGGAGCAGCTGAGCTATAAGCTGGTAGATACTAACTCTTCAAAGAGGCTGAGGTGAGCAGTCTGCAGCGCGTCGGGCGCGGGCTCGGCGGGGAAGAGTCCCGCCCGCGCCAGCGCGCTCAGCACGCACGACAGTATGGAGCCCAGGTACTTCCCGCCGATGTACTTCTCGAACCTGCAACACGCAGCGACCACAGTCACAGCCTACCCTCGCCTAGACTCAGCTCTGAGCCTCCTCGCCAGTCAGCTCCGCGACTTACGTGAAGGAGGTCGCGAGCAGCGAGGCGGCGTCCACCTCGCGGTCGAAGTCTGTCTTGATGAAGTCGAGGCAGCCGTTGTCCCCGAAGGCCCCCCACTCGATGTCGACGCACACGTCCTGCACGCGCTCGTGCGCCGCCTCCCAGTGCTGCACGCGCGACGCGCGCTCCATGTAGCATCCGTTGGAGCCCGTGCCCAGGATCACTCCGATCTGTGGCAGACAGCAGGCACACTCATACACACAGCTACATAGACAACGTGGAAATGAAATCTTTTTTTTTAATATAACTGCCCCACACTTTAAGAGAATCAGAAAATTCAAGGTCATGAATCGGGCTTACGGTAAACTTTTACAAGTTTTGGTGAAGATTTTTAGGTACTGTTTTCTATATACGTACCCCGACGTTCTTGTGCATGTGTGCGCCGGCGATGAGTGTCCCGGTGGTATCGTTGAGCAGCACGCGCACTGTGATCTGCAGGTTGCGCGCGCGCAGGCAGCGCTCCAGCAGCGCCGCCACGTCCACGCCCTCCAGTCCCGAGCACTTGAAGCTCTTTGTCCACGTGATGAGCTCGCCGGACGAGATCGAGTGCTGCTTCATCGGGAACGAGAACGTGAACCCTGCGCACAAAGCACGACACTTATTCTGCGGAACTGGACGACGACACAAACTATATTGTCAGTCAACTCCATCAGAATGAAACATTCCATGGATAAAAATACAACTAGTAAACATTCGGAGGTGTCGCAGTAGAAGTTCCCCGGTCCCAGTACGCAGCACTCACCTAGCGAGAAGGCCTGGTCCTCCATGCCCAACTGCTTCACGAAGTCGAGCACGCAGTCTGCGAGGAAGTTGAAGAGCTCCTCCCCGGTGCCCAGCCGCAGCGCGTTACTGCAACATACCGTATGCTGTCAGTCCTCACTCGATGCAGTCACTGACTACTGAGCAGTGGTACTGTACCACACCGTACCTGATGTGGTAGTGCTTGACCTGCTGGCGCACTAGCTGCCCGGCTGCTAGCTCCAGCAGCAACACTCGGAAGTTGGTGCCGCCCAGGTCCAGCGCCAGGAACACGCCCTCCTCTGCATTAGACAAAGTCAATTAGTAAGTCGTGCACGGTGACCGTGTGCCTCGCGAGTATTGTGGTTCGCACCAGTCCCATCAGGCAGCTCCGGCACGTAGGTGTTCTCCATCTGCAGGCTGGACGGCTGCTCGCTCAGTCCACGCTCCAGCTCCTGCTCGAACACCTCGGCCACCCGGCGCAGCACCTCGCCGCACAGCACCAAGTCTTTCAGCCTCGCCTCCACCTGCAACACCATGCGTACAACTTATAACATCAGCCCTTCACAACTCCAGTCCCCTAATGCAGCAAGCAGGAGGTTCATCGGATAGAGCTACACAATGAGCTACAGGCAGTTTCTGACAAATGTGTACCCCTTAGTAGGAAGAGTGTCGGTGGTCATATTCTCCTCGCCATGCAACACGCGACATGCAACACGCAACACGTGCACTAAAAGCAATTACAAGTACTCGCTGCATCATCACTCATACTCGCTCGAAAGTATTAAGTGAATGTAAAGTTTAAACAGACAACGATACAGGAAGACCTCATCGATCAAGTCCACTTTGACAGTTGTGTGTAGACCCTCAACGGGGGGACGCGACGGGCTGACTGAGGGGGGAAATATCGACATCGTTCATTAGGAGATGGTGTGTGGGGCGCCGTGTGCTGCCTCCACACAACGCCGGCTTATCGAACATAATCTCAAGACAAGATTACAATAAGACGCGCAGTCGCCGTGAACTAGCAATTATTGCGATAATTACTTCACTATAGCATTTCGTGGAGATGTTTAGTAGTGCTGTACAGCGTCGCGGTACCTCGAGCGAGACACACGTATGGTAAACTGATAATACATAGCTATACGTGTGCGCCTGATAGATACATCAGCTGTAGGCAGGCGCGGTATCTAAATACACCGCCTATTGTTATAATTAACTAATTATCTGATAAGACCCTCACATCCGCAACTAGCAATATTTGTGCGTTAGGTGTGTGTGCAAATATTTAGTAGTCATTCACTGTGTGATACACTCGGTGCCAACCCACACAGTACTTCATCAAGCAACAGAGGCTGAGACAAGCTTCTGTCTAAGTATCGAGATATGCGTGCGAGGAGATCATGACAGTGACAGGATTGACAGACAATCATCTCTTTTAAACATTAAATTCAAGATTATTTATATACAGTATTATGTACATATAGTGCTGACAGTGTACATAGTACAAGTTGGAGCTGTACAAGCAGCTCCAGTTCAGAGACAGCTTTCCAGTGCAAGACAATGTCGAGCAATCAGTTACAGGAGAATTTTTTACATCGCATAAATTATTTGTAGTAGTAAGTAAAAGGAAATCAGGTAATCAAAAGTAATGGCGTCTTTTGTGCCTCAAAGAAAATCCAATTTGTATGTGAACTGATGGAGCAAAAGTTAGCCATCCGCTGCAGAGTGTGGGCAGTGGGGCCCAGTGGAGCGGGCGCCGCCGCACTGCCTATATCAGCGTCAACTGTGACCTCGCGATAGCTGACCCCAGGGTCAATGCTGTCGAAACCGTCGCAGATAATGTATTGCGTCGCGTGATGGTGTACCTTCTGGGCGCGCACGCTGTCCTCGAGGTGCAGCGGCGTGGGCAGGAACTGCTGGCTCCAGGGGCGCGGGTCGTGGTGCCCGTTGGTGGGCGACTCCGCGCTGTGCACGCGCCCGTTGAGCGCGCCCGTGCCGCCCTCCACCGCGGCTGACATCGTGAGCGACCTGCGGACAACACACACCTCACTATGGCGGACACACACACTTGCGTACACTGCTCCACTATGAGATTGTTATCGAAACTAAACATTATTTACGTTACTTCGCTGATAACCTGACGTACGTACTTGACATCTTGACACAAACAATAAAACGATTGCTGTGACCTCAACTTTGCTAATCTCAACTATTCCGTGCGGCGAGAAGATAAACTCTGGATGTTACCTAATGGATCTCTCGCTGACTGCGACACTGAGGCAGTCACACACAGTGGCTCCCCCTGCTGCGTCGCCTGCAAGGGCAGAGGGAGCCATGCGGTGTTAATGGCTTTTCCCGGTTTATGGTCTGAACTGAACGTACGAATATGTAACATTACCGTAACACAGTCCCCTATTTCATTTGTCACGAACCTTGGAATGATCGCGAACACAATTAATATAAGCTATGATGTAATTTGATGCAGTCGTTTTAAGATGTAATGCACTCATTAATATTTAAAAGATTAGCATTTTTGAAAGATAACATTTCCAACAATTTGCATATTGTCGAGTGAAGTATCGCTATCGCGGGCCGCGGCCGGCACTAACCGGTTCGTCATATCATTGACAAAAAACAATAATCACTGCTACTATCATCATTTGCAATTATATACAATTGTAGATCTTAGCATAATCACTGTAAGGCCGATTCCTGTGTTTTAGAATACGCAGTGATATTTTTTTTTTGACGTTACCCCCACACTAGGGTTTCCAACTATGTCGTGGCTGCATTTGCAAACATACAAATTCAAATACACAAGTCACCATCCAGACCTGATACAACAATTTGTGGATCACTCAAAGTGTTGTTCCGTGCGGGAATCGAACCCGCGTCACGTTGCACAGCAGCCAGTTGCCCAGCCACTGACAAAGTCAATGTAAACACTAATGTACGCCAGCCGCCTGCAGACGTATGGAGACAGTACTCCACAGCGCAGCACATGACCACGTGACGAGCGAGCTATTGTTGTTACAGCACAACAATGGAGCGGCGCAATAATGTTGATCTTACTTTATCCAGCTTCATTACTTCCGCTTGTCAGCGCGACATTAAGTGCAGTAAACGCCGACGTGTTGCCGACACACGTGCGTGTTCCTAGACACGCTGGGCAGCGTGCAACGTGAAGGGACGCGGCGCCGCGCCTCCCGCCAGTCCCTCCTCCCAGCGTCAACACAGTCTGGCGCCGTACTTCACGCGTTTCGAGGACTTGACTCCCGAAATGTTAATACAACTACCTACCTACCTAGATATTAAGCTATCAATGGAATGATTCAATAGTTGTTAAACACTGATCGCAAAACAGTACCGTAGTTAACTAGATGGTTACTTTAAATCTTCTCTAGCATCATCAGTTCTGCTGTAATTATTTTAATTACACTAAGATGGCAATCAAGCATTATGGTCCACCTGGTGGTTAATGAAGTCTGTGGATGTGTGTGTGTGTGTGTGTGTGTGTGTGTGTCTGACATTACAGGTACCTACTACTCTCGTATATTCTTTCTCTCTTTCATAGTCAGTTCTTTCGAGAGTTCGACAGTCGGCTGAATCCCAATGTTCTACACGGAACGTCTAGTATCTGCCCCTACAGTTTGCTAATGGGTCTCTCCCTCTTAGTTCTTTGTTAATTTCACTTGAATAATTTTAATCGTGTGGCGTCAATATTAATTACCCATAAATAAGTGTTCAATAATGACATGTACTAAGTACTGAGCGTGTAGATACATCGACAGGTATTTACTTAGCCCCACACCTGACACACAGATAGAGCTAGTACCTATAGAAGTTTTAATATAAATGATTCAGGTAAATATAATATCTGTGAGTACGTAAACATTGGCCCTCCATGGCAGTCGCCGGCCGCCGTAATGTTACTGTACGCAGTGTGGTGTCACAACACTATTGTTGACAATAAATCAGTGTCACCATATGTGCGTGTGTGTGTCGCCTCCCTGTCGGTACACACGCACGACCGTGTGCGTGTGTGGTGAGTAAAGGTCTGTCTCCTCAAACATGGGAGTGTAACTAAAGATTCTAATAGTAGGACTATTAGTTACCTACATTAGGAAGCTCTATGTAATTATCCAGAGGCGCATGAGGCGTGGAGGATATTTCCCACGATACGAGCTACAACAAAGAGCTCCCATAAAGAGATGTTTACCATAATGTCTACACTTGTACGGTTTAGGTGGATATCGCAAGTTATTCTAGAGAGATTGGTTTCGATCTTAACACCGGTCGGCTATAAAGCTAACCTAGCGCAACTAAGTAATCTTGGCCGTCGCGTGTAAGTAAAGTATGTAAAGCTTTCCGCCTTTCATACTGACATACAAACACGATTAACTGACTAAGTGTTGTAGTCATGAAAAGGAATATGACTAAGCAGCCGGGAGCTGCTACTGCTTCGAGCGGGTTCTAGTGGCGGCATCACGCTGCGTGCTGCGATAACGACCGTCCTTCAGCGGTATCTGTTCGCAGGCAACGCTCGATAAGTGCGAGGTGGGCCGCGGATTAACCACATTAGGCGAACAGCGATAGCAAGCAGCGGCGAGATAGTTGTGTGACACATACTCAGTACTGACCGACTCCTGTCATAAAACCACTTGCTGTTCCCGCTACCATCAGCCGCTACTGGCGACCCAGGCAGTGACAATAACACAAACAAACAAACGTTAACAGAAATTACATTATTTTCGGAAATAAGAATACTGGTAATTCTATTACACGAATCTATACTAATCTACATCTAATGTAGGTATATAGGTATTATGACAACAAAGATACATAATGTATTATAAGTATACCTACACTTATTACGTCCGCGGACGAGTACATTGTTGTTTTATGGAAATAAAGTTTCATTCAAGAAACGTGGCAGTAATCAGGTACAGCGTGCGTAATTAACATTTATCTTGTGGATACAACACACTAGCATACTACATGTAGCGCACGACGCCATGCGCCAGTGATGCACAGACAGAGCCGTCAATTGCTTTTTAATAAGTAATCATGTGCTGCACGTAGTTCGCAACATTAGTGTGTGTGCAACAATTGACCACAAAGCAGACACACAGCTACGTGTAGTACATACTGACCACGTGTGAGATCCATTAGGTAGAGAATGAGCATCGAGTCAGTGGCGGCACAACACAACACCTTCATTTCAGTGTAATATGTTAGTTGTACATTGGGACATTTCACAAGAAACTAATACTAAACTATTGCTATTTTATTATACGTTAGAGGAAATGGCACACCTACAGCATTTGGATAGAGTAATGAACTATATATTGTGGCTTCTCTAGAGCAGTGTCTCCCTCCACCCCCGGCACTACGGTACGGAGAGCTCCGGTAGTATCAGATGATCACGCTGGCCGCGCTACCGGCCGCGTGTCCCTGCAACAATTGGGCACTTGGACGTTGGACCAGCAGCGCTAACTGAACAAATTTTCAATGAATACACAGACACAAAGAAACAAATTGCTCCCAATACGCCGCTCTCACGTGAGGACGGCCCCTGTCACTCCTAGTGCGCTTAATGACTACGTCAGATAGTGTTGCCCGCCTTCACGCCCCCCTCCCCAAGACTTATCTAAAAATAACCACGACTGAGAAATCGAACCTAGTCACAAAAGCCTGTACATAGGTATAACTTGTTGTCAACCACTGTAACAAATGTTTATGCAGTAAGGCTCGTTTGACTTCAATAATGTGTTGGATCTGATTATGTAATGGAGTGGGACGTAAACGAGCAAACGAATACCTGATGGTAAGCGATTAACACCACTCGTGAACTCTATATAACTATATACTATATATAGGTACTTAGGATAGTGATGCTTAATGTGAAACAAAAACAATATCTTTTTTCTTCTTCGTTTTACTTTGGGAGAAGAAAGATGTGGAGAGTGTTTCTTATTACACACTGTAGTCATTATATACACAATACTTCACTGCAGCGGTGTCATTGGTGCACTGCGACTGCAGCGTATGCAACTTTGTATCTACTGACCACAGCGTGACCGCGTGTCGCGTCGGTCGCTGGCCCTCAATCTATGAGCGAAGACTCCCACAGCCCACAGCGCCATACTGATTTATTGGCTTAAATGGGTAATTTGCGACGGCGGCGCCGTACTCACGCCGATCGAATGATCTGGAGCCGTTGAATATCTACCGATGTCTGGCCTGCCTGTCTACTGGACGCGCGACTACATGTCATTCTAAACACTGTTACATTATGTATAGTTAGGAACGATCTGTGGCAGATTTTGAGTAGGTTATATGCAGGCAACATCATTAGTGCGAAGTGTCTGCCAATCACATTTATCAGTAACTTGTACGGGATCCGTGACGTCACACTTATGTTACAAACTAAATGAACGTGAGTGTGTGTTATATTCTGTTGAGTTGATCTTGGCCTTAACCTGGGGGGTGGTTAAAGGAAACACCCTGATGCATCTAACTAAAAAATGACATCGACCAATTAGATAACTTGATCTACGATAAAATCGAATTCAATCAACAAGCCAGTCACAGTACCTATTGTTTAGAAACTGTACGGATAAAGAGGGATAACTCATCCATGAAAAAGGAAAATTGCTTGTAAGATAATGAGACAGAAACCTGACACTAATGTGATGGTGGAAGATAATAAATACTAATAAATTCAAGTAAAGGTGATAAAAACGACGAAGCAAAGCCAAAGCAAATAGATAAAATATGTCAATCGAATACGTGATTGTGTGCCGGAGGTCGAGCAGTAGAGCGGAGTAGTGAACCAGTGAATAATTGATCGAGTGTAACAAGTGGCTCTCTAATTAATCAAGTGCTCGATGATTCCCGGTCCGCGTGCAGACTGGCGAGCAGGCGAGCAAGCGAGCGAGCAAGTTGGCGAGTAGGCGACTAGGTGCGCCTTCCAAGTGTTTTCATTACAAGTGACGCAAATCGTCAACCTTTAATAAGTTAGAAACCGCTGGCGGCGCGCGGCCGAGTGCTCGCCTCGGCGCCTCAGATTTTGTTAATCACGGATCACACTTGACTGAGCTTTAATCACTGGACACGGATAGCTCGCACAGACTTGCCTAACTATACAAAGTATATATTATGAGAGTGACCGAGCGTGACGTGACGACGGGGCTAAACTAATTGACCAATACTTCGTAGTACCGCGTGTACCTACATACATATGTCGTGTAGTACATGTATGTGCTGCACTCAATTAGTTAGAGTCTAAGTTTTTATCTGCGTCTTCATTGAAACAATGAAACAATGAATTTGT